TACTGTGTCTGAACAAATTACTTGGTGTTGGTCACTTTCAACTGCTAACATAATAATGTCAATCTGATAGGTAAATCAGGCGCTATCCTATCATTTTTAAGTGAGCTTGCTACTTGGGAATCCATGAATAGTGAAATTGGCGCTTGAACTAGTAGCGGTCAAGATTTTTTGATTTTATTACTTTGGCTACCTTTGCTGGGAGTTTTAGATCTAGAATGAGACTAAAGCCATTATTTGGTATGAGCTTTTTGTCCGGATTTTAATGAGTATTCCCACAGTAATTTGATGAACTGCATAACATTGCTTTCTCAAAAAAACTTGATTTTTGTGGATGAGAACTTAGACGTGGACTTGGAATTCCTCTGCAGGGAGAAGCTGGTGATATTGCTGTAGTATTTAACAATGTTATAAGACCTGGACCGGACAGGCCAGTTCAACCGGTGACCGGACTTAGTTTTGGTCCAGATGACACAAAAATCGAATAGGCCAAAAACCGGCCTTATTTGCAAAAATCGGTGGTTCAACTGGTAAAACTGGCGAACCGGTCTCGGTCCTCGACCAATTCGATTTTTTATTTTATTTCTTCTCTTCTTTCTTTCTTTTATATATATATATATATATAGGGAATGGCTTTTGTCCAGTCCTTAATCAGACTGGACTGTGCTGTTGGGCCCGTGGGGGCCACCACGGGTCTCGTTTTGATAATCTGAATCATTCAATGGTCTTGTTTGGTAAAGCTTATTTTCAACTTATTTTAGCTTTTAGCTTAATTTAAGCTATTTTGATGTGTTTGGTTCAGCTTAATAATATAACTTATAGCTTTTTGTAAGTCAAAAATCAACTTATTCTTTGAGTGGGGGAGGAGAAGCTTAATTTATAAGTAAAAAATCAACTTATGTTCACAGTTATAAGCTATAAGCTGTTAAGTTATGAGTTATAGGCACTGTTTGGTAGAGCTATGGGAAAGTGCTTAAAGCTTATGCCTAAATAGCTTATAGCTTATAACTATGAACATAAGCTGATTTCTGACTTATAAATTAAGCATCTCTTGCCCCACTCAAAGAATAAGCTGATTTCTGACTTCCAAAAAGCTATAAGTTTTAAGCTATAAGTTAAACCAAACACATTAAAATAGCTTAAATTAAGCTGAAAGCTGAAATAAGCAGCTTTTAAGCTGCACCAAACAGGCACATAATCACTTTCTCACAGCTCTACCAAACGGGGCCAATGTGTAGAACTCGTCGAGTACTATATGCTTGTAAAAAGTCACGTTGATTGGATATCGATAGCTATGTGATCAAAACAGATTTTGTCAATCGTTAATTTATTCACCGTCCATTTTTTTTTATACAAAACTGATTTGATCACATAGCTATCGATATTCAATTAACGTGATTTTTTACAGGCATATAGTACTCGACGAGTTCTACACATTGAACAGTTCAGATTATTAAAACGAGATCCGTGATGGGCCCCCACGGGCCCAACAACACGGTCCAGTCCGATTAAGAACTGGACAGAAGCCATGCCCATATATATATATCAAAATTTTGACTAAAAACTCTTCAAAAGTCTATTTTCATGAGGAATTTCATTAGAAGCTTGAAAAAATTATGAAGGGAGAGTTGAAAATTTTATTTCTCCAAAATTAAATCTAATTTAATCAATCTGTTTGGAGGGAATATTAATTTTTTTTTAATTTTTTTAAAACTAGTGACTTTTTTATTATTATTAGAACTGGACAGAAGCCATGCCCATATATATATATATCAAAATTTTGACTAAAAACTCTTCAAAAGTCTATTTTCATGAGGAGGAATTTCATTAGAAGCTTGAAAAAATTATGAAGGGAGAGTTGAAAATTTTATTTCTCCAAAATTAAATCTAATTTAATCAATCTGTTTGGAGGGAATATTAATTTTTTTTTAATTTTTTTAAAACTAGTGACTTTTTTATTATTATTATCAATTATGATTTTATTAAATATTCTTAGTAAATGTTATGCAACACTTTTTTTTTAAAATTATTTGAGTAATTATATATATATATTTATTTTATGGGTAAATTACATTGAGACTCCTTGAGATTTATGTTTATTACAGTTTCTCCTCTCACCTTTTGGAAATTACATCCCCCTTCCTGAGATTTAAAATTTCATTACAGATTACCCCATGAGATTTAAAGTTTCATAACAGTTCCCCCCTCACTGTAATGATCATCATACATAAAATTAAATTAACAGGGGGTCAGTGTAATTTTCCAAATGTGAAGGGGGAACTGTAATAAATATAAACCTAAGGGGGTGTCAGTGTAATTTACCCTTTATTTATTTATAATTTATAATTATATAATATTAATTATAACGTCACGGTTCGACTGCTTCGACTTAACGGTTGAACCAGTGACCCGTCCACCTGGTTATTTTTTGAGTTCGCTCATTAGTTTGGTTTTCAAAATATTGGTATTTAAGATGTCTATGTGTGCAAACTGTAATTTATTTATTTATTTTGGACCATTACATTTTGAGTAGTAGGTAGTAAATAGAATGCCAAACACTGCATGGTGTTGTTGTGAAAAAGTGTTGACTGAGACTAAGGTGTATTTGATAAAATTGTAAATTAAAAATTAAGTATTGAAAATTGAATGTTAAATTTTTTTAGTTAAAAGATTGTTTGATAAAAATTTAAGTACTAAACTAAAAGTAAGTTATATGTATAATATCAAATTTAAAATTTATTATTTTCAAATTATATAGTTTAATTTTTATATTATCATGGTGGTGGTAGTGGTGGGTTGTGATGGTATGATGGTGATGATGGTAGTGATGGTAGTGGCATGGTGATGGTGGTGGTATTGGTAGTGTTTGCAGTAGCAATGGTAGTGGTAGTAAAATGATGGTGATGCTTATAACAACGACAATGGTGATGAAGGTGGTGGCAGCAATATTATAATGGTAGTAATAGTGATGACGTTGGCATGGTGATAGTGGTCATGGTAGTGGTAATAGTAGCGATGGTAGTAGTAGTGATAGTGATGATGGTGCTTATGATGCGACATGATAATGGTAGTGGCGGCGGTGGCGGTGGTGGTGATAGCGGTAATAATGGTGGTGGTGGTGATAACGGTAGTGATGGTGATGGTGGTGTTGGGGGTGGTGGTAGCATAATGGTGGTGGTGGTAGTATAATGGTGGTGGTAGTGATGGTGGTGAGTTTATAATAGTGTGTATCGATATTTATGTTTATTATTTATAAATTTAGTCAGAATTAGTTAGAATTTTCATAAGTTTCAGCTTACATTTTAAGAGATATTTAAATTTTTAAATGATATCAATTGTTGGCTTAATTGATTAAGTGATAATCACAATTAATAATCAATTAAGCTCGTTTGATAACTACAATTAATATCACTTAAAAATTTAAGTGTCTCTTAAAATGTAAGACTAAAATTTAAGAAAATTTTAAGTCATATCAAATTTACTTAATTCTGACTAAATTTATAAATACTAAATATAAGTATTGATATACACTATTATAAATTCACTACCATCACTATCACCGCCACCAATCACCACCATCAACATCGCTATAACTATCATAACCATTGCCACCGCAACCACCATTGCCACCACCACCATCACCGCCACAACAAACACCACCATCATGCCACTGCTGCCATTACCACGACTACAACAACAACCACTATCATGCCACCGCCATCACTACCACCACTACCACAATCACCATCACCGCCACCAATCGTTACTACTACTACTACCACAACCATCATGCCGCTGCCTCGGCTATTGTCGTTACCACTACTACCACCACCTTTATTTCCATTGTCATTGTTGTTATAAGTACCACAATCATTTTACTACCACTACCATCGCTACTACCACCACCACCACCACCACCACCACCACTATCACTATCATGCAACCACCACCACCACTTTTATCACCATTGTCCTTGTTACCAAAAGCATCACTATCGTGTTACTACTGCTACCATCGCTGTCTCTGCTACCATTATGCCATCGTTGCCACTACCACCACCACCATCACCATTATTACAACATAAAAATTAAAATATACAATTTAAAAGTAATAAATTTTAAATTTGATCATATACATATCAAACAATATATTTATTATTCAACACTTAAATTTTATCAAATAATCTTTTTAACTTAAAAAATTCAGCATAAAATTTTCAATACTTAATTTTTAATTTTCCACTTTCAACTTTATCAACACCACGTAAGCAGTCCATAGCCACTCAGCATGTTTTAAATGACCATCACAAAGTGCAAATGGACTTGAAACGTGAGTTCTGTCTCCATGTCTGGAGGTGAATAAGGGGAGTTTGGTGGCGAAAGTGAGTTTTATGCCACCACAAACACCACCAACCTCTTGGTCGTCGAGGACGGAATCAAAATTTTATTATTGGAGAGATTAAAAGAAAAATGCATATATATATATATATATATATATTTCATTATATACATAAAACATACATATATGTCTAATTAAACATTGAACAAATATAATTTCATAAAAAACATTTAACAAATATCAAAATACAACTGGAATGTGCATTAAATATTCAATTTAAAACATTTTTAAACATTGAACAAATATAATTTAATAAAAAACATTTAACAAATATAACTTACAATTACAAGAACTGCAAGGATCTTTAATTGGGTACAACGGGGAAACTGGTAAGGCTCTCAAAACACTCTGTTTTTCTTCCAACAATGAAAGAGAAGAAAATTTTCGAATGCCTGAATGCTTACAATTGATTACAATATAAAGACTAAAAAGTAAAACAGTGAGCATGTGACTGAAGAAAGCAGCTGGCAGAGTATGGGACAAAGTAGATGCTGTCGGTTGCTTTCGGTGGCGTGATTGCACAGATGATCAGCTTTTAGCAAAAGTTGATTGGTTGAATAGTGACAGTGAACAGTAAAAGTGAACAGTAACTTTTACTATTTATC